GCAAATAATATGCCCTGCGTATTGCCCCTGCTAATTATATGAATGAGCCTTGTCGATCCAGCCGGCTGTTAGGGAAGAATCATTCTCAGTGAAGAGTAGCTGTTGATTTGAGATGATTACTCCTAAAGAGTGCCTCGTTGCACTGCAGTATGCACTCACGGAAACTAGGTTATCCATCCATTAGCCATTAATAAAGCATTTCGATCCTGATTACTCGAGAAGTAGATAGGTGATATCGTGCACTTCTTTTTTTGCAACTATTCGAAGCAATTGTTGTGACCAAATGATTTATCCACTGTCGACAAAGGAAAACTTGTTCTTATAAAAGTTAAACGGTTTCCAATGTGACTGACACCAACCGGCGTTTTTTATTAAGTATTTGTTGATTTTTTATGCGAACACATTGAAATTATTTTGTGGCAGTTAGTAGCGAAGGTCAAGGTGTTTGTTCAACTGTGTTCACTTCGATCATCTGCCATGTTCAGTTCGCTCATTCGAACATTACCTACCTATCTGTGTGAGTGACATCATTTTCATGAGTTGCGCTTTTTTGATTCATCTCAAGCAAATCCATTTATATGATATGTCATATTCTTTCAAGAACTGTGCACAAACTTGCGTGAACGTTTAGTCGAGAAGAATCTTGCAATCACTAAAGACACTTCCATCCTCATAATCTTTAGTTTGTTAAAGTCAATCAGAATTTCACAGTCACCGATATTCAGAAAGATAATTGCACAAGTGCACCAACTGCATAGAGCGGTCGGTCATCATCAGATTGTAGCTTTGATTAATTCGTTCCGTTGCGCATCTGTCAATTAATGTTTTCGTCCATAGAACGAACTGTACTCAGTCTCTATGAGTGCTTTCCGCCATATGCATTCTTTTTGCTTGGCAAAAAGTGGTCTTATGACTTTCTGTTTTCTTCGCTATCAATTCAAACCACAATTGAAATTGACTCCGTTCTTATTACTGCACATTGACAACTAGTCAGATACGATAACGGTCTTAATGTTGAATGGGCAGGCCGTCCATCTTCCGTAATGGCAATCCTTGTTGTACAATCTCGTATTTCGTTCTTGATGCGCACAGAAATGAACGAGCTTAATTTAGAGAATTTGATATCCTACAAGCAGTTAAAATTTGGTAATTAAAAACTGCAACATGTGATTATCATGAGTCCTGAAATCTTTACGGAACTAATGCATTTCGTCTTGTTAGACTTTTAAGCAAGATGAGCGATTGCTTTGTCAATTTTTCATTTTCTCTTTGTAGTGAGTAGCGTGTAAGGTATTCGATGTGTTACAACGACTTATTAATGTCACGGAGGCATTGTTATTCCAACATTATGGTGTATATTGCAAAAGCAATTCTTGTTTTCATTCCTCTGAATGTGTTGTTTTCATCAACATTGACTGCCACATCTTTTAGTGATCCCGTAAAGCACGTTAATACCTCTGAGCTCCAGTGAATATTATTCTGCCTATTAACATATTAAATTCTCTTAGTTGGTATCGTTCATTGTTTGTAGTATAATCCTGATAATTATTTATGCTTTCGTAATCCCGTGTATGTGAGCCTTCAGATGACATGATTTATCTTCGAATTCATTAATACGCACTCCCATCAAAATCGCGGTAACGACCCTAGAGCTAATAATTCTGTGGTGACCTTCGAATGGAAATTTAGAAAATGAAAACTTTGAATGAACACAAAATGTCACGTTCACTTGATGATTGATTGTGTCGCTCTCTTTATTCATAAACCAATTGAATGTTCCACTTGCAGTCAAGTTTCACATTCCACCTTTCTTATTACCTTCCTCTGTAACAGGTATCTTTTAAATGAAAGTTTGAGAGAAGCTGACCTGGTGTCTATCGATAGCCTTAACTTGTAACTTCACGTGTCAATTTGCATGGCCAGCTGATTACTTCCCTTTTTGTGGTTGTTCTCAGTAGAAGAGGCTAGAGCCAGATTTCCTCCTTTTAACACAGAATGATGCAATGAACATCTCACTTTTATTGTTAACTTAAATAATACTGTAATCGAGTTTAACATCGCTCATCACTAAAGTGAATGAATTCGGCTCGTTTTGCAACTTTACACGTTTTATAACAGTTTAAATTTAGCACAAAAGTAACCTTTCTCTGAAAAACGAGCAATATGTAGGCAGTTAGTTGACTGAGCAGTTTATTGAAATGAGTGAAGAATGCTTTGTGACGGCATATGACAAGCAAGATGAAATAAGTCCGCTGTTTGAGGATCGAATCAATAAAACACTTGCTATAAAGCGTTCAGCATTTACATTCCACGAAAAAAAGCAACGATTTTTATCATCGTTCTCTATAAATCAGTTACAACTGCCGTGTATCACCACTGCGTTTTGTGATCATATCAATTGCTATTGATGTTTGATGATTGAACTTTTTGATAGCAATGTTCTATGTTCAGCGGCTGTTCGATTACCATTCAACACTATGATTGCGCTATATACGACGCAGTTCCTCCCCGGGGAAATTTGAAGGTGCCGGGGGAGGGGATTTGGCAAATCACTGCCGATTGACTTTCGTTTCGTAATTTTTCTGCTGTGGTCTAATAAACGTTTTCGAAATAGTTGTTTCATCACGAAGTAATTTTTTTGATGTATTGTTGAGTGTAAACTTCTTGTTTCTCACTGTATTTTAATATGTCGCCAAGAAATGTAGGATTATCATAAGCGGAGGGGAGAGCAGATTGTGCCCACTTCCTATCTTCTGTTCACGATCGTTTTTCAATCAAAAGTGCGATATTCCGAAATTTTTGTTAATTGATTTTTGAATAATGAAATCTGAAACGGCGCTGATGTGTAATTACTAATCCGTTTATTCTTCCTTAGATGTCGAGCAATGAGTATTGCTGAATTTGAGCAAATTGATGTGTTATTCAAAAGGAGAATATTTCGAATATTTTATAATATAAAATGCCATATTCTGGCGAATGCCGAAATCCCGGGATTTTTCGGACATATATCCCAAGAACGGGACTGGAAGTTTGGGATCTACTTATATCAGATTGATTGGTTTTAATTGATTCCTGATCCGTCTGGCATTTTGGTGTTTTTTTATTGATAGTACACCAGCGCGTGTGCTATGAATAAGTTGAAAATCGGTAGCTGTTGTTGGCTGATCGGCTTTCACGAAATAACTTGTGATCAATCCACTCTTCGGATGAACGGTGTCCCCTGTGAACCGGGTTTCTCGGCTGACATTTAGATTCGATTATCCGAAAAAAACTTTGGTTACTGCAGCACATCAATGCTCACTTTCTTATTCCTGCTGTACTTTCTGCCGCTCGCTTACTTCAGCCTCCTCGTAATGAATAAAATGAACGTAAATGTACAGAAAGAACCCCGTTTTGGTTTTACTCCCAGTAGCATCCACTCCGAAATGTTGGCGAAAGCGGCCCATCACTTGAACAAATCAGTGGAACAGAAGGAGAATTGCTGGACGACTCACAAAAGGCGACAGATTCGGTATTTCAACGGATTTTTATTGACACTGTTGTAAAAGACCTGTTCCATTCATTCACTTCAAAATTACTTCATCTTTCAACGTATCGCCAAACTTAAATTTCATTCGACTGAAAAAAAATCAAGCCATAATCACCCNTTTTTTGCTTTCAATATTCGTTGGTTTTTTCTTGATCAAATAATCACTCTCTTAATGCAGTTAGAATGCCTCCTTCGGTGCAATAACTGCTGAAGCGGTTGGCTCCAGCCGGACGGCTCGAAGCTGACACTAATACACTGCATTTTTTCGTGCGTTTACATGGGTTTGACGTTTCAGTTGTTTTTTTTGCATTCTTTTTCCTTTGCGATCGGTTAATACAGCATGATTTGCATCAACGATTTTGCTTTGTTCTATTTCCAGTGATCAACACTCGTTGGTTTTCCCTTTTTTCGAATATTTACTGTCGTTATTAAGTTTTCATAATCACTAAAATGCGTCGATCATTTCCGTGAAGTTTTTTTATTACTAGCTAAAATTGAGAACGCTTTATACTTTGCAATATTCCCTATAGACGTTGCTATGGATTTCATTCTTCTGGATTCTGAAGGTATCAATATCCATGATGTCTGTTTGATTCTTGCAGATCCTTTCGCGCTGTTCAGCTGGTTTCCACTCATTTCTTGTACTCGCTCTTTCAACTTGCTGTCCAACACTGAGCCTATCTGAACAGGTCGCGAAATTCGAAAATCATTCCCTGTTTCCCATCTATCATCGAAGCGATTTCGTGAAATTCTTCCGAATCTAATGCTACGTGCCTGCTACGTGAAATAATATCACGATAATACGCGCAATGTGTATGAAGCTCTTGCTTAATAAATAATGTTTTAAGATTAATCGTTGCATTTTTATTGCACTGTTATTGATGAGCAACCAAGCATCGTTCAAGTTGATAATTATTAGGGAAAGAAATTGATGAACGAACGATGATAATTTGTTCAACTCACACAATTTCCACTGCAAAATGAACAGGGGTGCACTCTTTCGCATCACAAATCGAAAGAAATGCTGCACGTTGCTTATCTTTTCTTCAGTCTTAATGTGCACCAACTAGATTCAAAAATCTGTTTATTGAACAGTTCGCCTTTGTCAGTTTTCTTTCTGAATAATTTGTATTGTGAAGTTTATGAAATTTTATCGCTCAATGACAAATTATATCCATCTGAAATCAGTAACGCTTTATTTTCGTGTTCAGATTTGTTGTCTACAATTGAAAATTGTCGACGGGTGAATGTTCAGTTACGTGAGTTTTTGACTGCAAATTCTCATAGTGCACAGAACCTTCGATGATGAATTGATAGGAGAGTGGCGAGAATTGTGAGGGACATTCTTGTTTTTCGTTGATCTGTTTCCGTTTCCCTTTGAAACGCTTCGAACACTTCATATTAATTTTTAATTGATGTGGATTTATGATTATATCATCCGCCTTTGATGTTCTCTTTGGAATGAAATCGTTTAATGACTCAGACTTACCGATAATGACGGTGTCTTTTGCAGTTCAAATGTTTTATAATGCTCGTCTTCTGTCACTTTGGCAACAGCTATGTCACTGTCTGATTTTAGGGGTCGTATATTGTCCGTGTTATCGGCCGCAGAAACAATCAGCGAGTGGATTTCAGAGTAGATGGTGAAGAATATGGCTGATATGCGACGGACAGCTTCGAGGATAGCTTGGCCTTGTGCTAATGCTATGTGGCGTTCACTTGTCATCCTTTTCAGGAATAATTCGTCGATAGGTTCATTGCATCATAGATTCGTCGATAGGTTCATCCCATCATCACAAGCTTGACATACAAACTGCTCAAATCCCTTAGAACTTCTTCCCCATTCCAGAACGCGATAGATAAGGGAATGTTTCTGTTGCAACTTAGGCGTTGAATTGGATGAGACATGTAGGAATAGGTGTTATAAAGTCTTTGCGCGATACATTCGGTTTAATTAGTTGTCAATTGAGCAACATTAACAAGCTATAAGCTATCCAGCGTTTTGCTGAGCAAACATAAAACGAGAGGATCATATTGAAACTGTGTTTGCTTACGTTTCAATTTTATATGCAACTCGAAGTTTAATTTATGAATAATCACATCAGACAAAATTTGCGAGAGACAATAGTCAGTTTAGTTCTTCGTTTTGCATGAATACGATGCAATCAAGTTCTTATTGTAACCACTTCTTGGTAAGCAATCTAAAGATGACATTGTGGATCTCTCATTTTCGAGCAGTTGCCGTTGGAAAAACGACTACTCGAAAATTGATCTCTCACTGAAAATTGATGTTTCAAAAATTTCCATTTTGGCCAAAGAAAGTTTCGTTGTAACCATCAACATTTACTCTAACTTCATGAAGTACATTTCTTCTCACATCAGTATTTCCCGAAAATCACCATTATTTAAATGTTGGTTTCCAAAAAGGATGTGTCCTTATTCAGCAAGCAACTTTTGAAGATGGTTCAATGACATATTTCATTCATCGTTTCTTGAAAGAATACAGCTTAACACACGAAAAAGTTGTCGTTTCGAACGAGCGATGTTAGCGGATTAGCATAGCACCTATTTCGTTTGCGTGCCCATCACTGCATATCATGTTATGTTATGTCTACACTATCATTAATATTGTATTGTGCGTATGTTATTCGTAAAGCACCAGATGTTGATACAAGCATGTTATTGATGAGCACTTCCCTAGCAAAAAACGTTTATTTACGCGTGATGTTAAAGTATGAATATTTGTGTATCTGGTCTTATTCGGCCGATTGTTGTCATAGGTCGACTTTCAAGTGTATGTATCTAACGCCGCCTTTGCAAGTAGATATTATCAGAGTTCATATTTCGTGTAAATTGACGCGTTGTTCGAAATCGATCGATGTCCAAAGATAGCATCATGTTAACGAAATCGGTTACAATTGTGCATTTGCAGGTATCTTTTATCAAGCTATTCTCGTACCGTTGCGTCGGTGTTTGATTCATTTGTGAATGTACGTGACTGATTATTGTGTGTATGTCGCAAAACAACTGTATTCATATTCAGCAGTCGTGTGGGAATTGATTATTGTGTGCTGTGAAAATATTAAATATTATCGATTTGATCGAACAAAGCCGTCAAATAATTTTGACATTCGTATTCAACATCAAATCTCAAATCATATCTTCTCTGCACAGTATTACATTCTCAGCCGCGCCATTCCTCACCATCAATTCACTTATCACTGCCCTGTCCTAGTTTCTGGTATATTTTCAGCGCTATTAACACTGATCTAACTAAGCTGTACACAGCACAATTCAGCTGTAAGAACAAATGCATGGTCATAAACTGAGTTCTCATTTGAATTCGTCATCGGTTAGAGGTACTACGTTAGTGGTTAACAACACAGCAACTAACGAGCAGTGTCGTTCGTCGGAGCTAACCGATTCGACGGATCACTTCTCCAATAATCAGTCACAAGCAATTCCATCGCAACACCACGTCACAACTCAGCATGAGCACCAGATGATGCCCATTAGCATATGCACAAATATTTCGCCACTCTCTGCGTCAGACTTCGAAAATACGAATCGCCAACTACATCATGGTTCGACCACAACAACGTGGTTCGTTTTACTTTTATTTGTGTTGTGTTTCATTAATTTACATGCACCATATGTTATATGCGATCTGATCCCTTGACATTCTGCTGCATCTAAAGTAAGTGAGATTTTCTTCGATCTCAAGCAATTTTCACCCTTCCAACATTGAAGATCTGTGAAACCCACTCAAGAACGGGTCAAATTATTTTTGTTGACGTGATTTTCATTTGGGGAGTGAAGGAATGTGAATATGAGCACTTAGAATAGCAAATGATAGCCATTTTTTGGTTACAGACTTTGAAGATTATTATTCATTTTATGGCCAGTATAAGCAAAAAGAGAAACGGAGGTGGAAGCTAAAACAGGGCTGTTTGTAGAGCAGTTAGCAAAGCACTAGCAGGTCGAACAAACCGAACAGCCTCTAACAATGGAGCTCGATGAAACTCTTCCAACAAAAACGTACTGATTTTAGTGTGGGAGACATGTGCAATTTTAGGTCGTCACAGATTATGAGAATCAGCGTGAAAATTTTGAAGGAAACATTCATCAGAGCCAGGGTTCGGCAAATCGCTAGGAGATTCACAATAAGATTGTTTGCCTATCCCTTCACCCCCTCCCCTTCCCCTCACAATCAAATTCACATTCAAGCTTCATTGTGAAGCTGCGACTAGGCAGTGTGTGTTTAGCATCACCCCTTGAAAGGGATTGAATGATATGGTAACATAATAAGGTGCTAACTGCTTTCTGGTCGATTCCAACTTCTTTTTGCGCTCTTCTTTCATTCTCTTCGTTTAAAAAGCAAACTTCACTGTTTCGAAAAGTCATATTATACATCTTTCCAACTATTACACTCGTGATTATTTGCTAATTTTGTCTGTTCTCTGTTTCTCAATTTTTAAAGGCCGTCCTAAAAAAATCTGCGTTCCCTTCGAGATGCCCAAATGTTCAAATGACATCGATTATTTCATATTGATTTCTCCGTCCACTCGGTACAGGATTGATAAATGACTTTTAAAGAGGAACGTCGAAACGAATTCTGCTTATCATCCAGTCGGGTTTCTGAACTTGAGGTGAAAAAAAAGAAAAATATGAGCAAAAAAACACGTGCGTAGATACTGATGCTTATACTGATTTTCACTTTGTTTTCTTTTTTCTGTTGTAACAGAAATTGGATGGGAATGCGGGTAGGTGAGCGCTCGTTCGATGATTATTGCTAGCGAACGAATGAACAATCAAGTACTACATAACTCGGTCAGAATGGCCATCACCAGCGAATTGTATACGAACCCCATTAATGTTAGGGTTATTATCTGAAAAGCATTCATTCAGTCACCTTTTTCTCTGTTTAAAACTGGCAAACGAGCAACAGAGCACACCATAATGCAGCAGCGCTCATTTCAACTGCATTCTTTCTTCAAGGAAGTGTGTGCACTCACAAACAATCTTGTGCATAAAGGAGCAAGCATGCATTTTCAAAATTACTTCCGAGACATCTGATTGGTTAAAGCAGTAGTTTTATTATTATCAGAAAGCAGCAATCATTTACTTTTTATTACAATTGATAAATGTCCATTGCTTTTGCTGAGCTATTTTTGTTGGTTTCTGATTGACATTTCCACTTCACGAATACGAACGTTTCATTCCGTATTAACTCGAGGATTAGTTGATCAAACAATGAGTGAAAGAAAGGCAAATCCATATCATTTCATGGAATAATGTTCTCTGATCTGCTGCATAAGTCGTCAGCGATCAATATCTGTTCTGAACAGTCAGCATTATCTAATTTACGACATTCGCTAAGCTACAAAGTGGTCGTTGATTCATGAACTATTCTATTCGTCTTTACGTCCTACTTCCTTCTTTGAACGGCAGGCTGGCTCTTGTTTATTGCGGTTGATGATGCACAAGTCATAATATTTCAATGAACAAAGAGACTGGAGACAATGCGGCATCAATCAGAATCGTTCGTTCACAAATCCATTCATGCATCGACGATAAGCGAACAGTCAGATAGTTTCGTCCGTTTGAGTAGAATACGAGCCACTTGCTTGTGGTGGGCTGTTTCGCTTTTTGCATACCTCCACAGTGCATATTCTTATCATTTTTCTGACTGCTTGCAAAACGAACGAATCACTGAAAATTTCATCACCACTGGTTGCAGAGAAATTTTTCGGTCCAAAATTTTTTGAATATTTTGAAGTGTTGCGACCACCAGGAGTTTTATTTATAATATTTTTCGGTGTGTTCACATCATGAACGCGGCTGGCTGTATGTGAATAACTGATCGGCGTTCTGGTGTAATCTTTTGCGGACGTATGATCCGAATGATTTCTTCATTACAATATGTAATTTCCTCGTAGTTTCCAACTTGTACAGAAGTTTTTTGTATACGATTTATATTTTTCAATCTTTTCTGTGAAGGAAATTTAAGCACCAATAATGTGTGCTGAGGCATAATGCTACTCGAAAGATTGGTTTTGCTGTTCCTCATCAATCTTGTATGCGATTTATGTATTTCAATTTTTTGTTGGTTCTGATGAAAGTGCTCAATTTTGTATTGGCCATCGCGTGCTTGAAGCCAAAGGAGGGGGAGCGCATTTTTCGATTTAGTCGTGGATGAGACTCGTGGGGTTGGTCTAAAGAAAATTACTATTGTTAATGTTGAGTGCCCGATATCGTTGAGTTAAGTGGATGGTACTTGATGCTGGGAAATGTTTGAAATTGCACATTCAAGCTGGAAGGTCAATTTCAAGTTATCATTTCATTAAAGTAACACTTGTTCTCCACTCACACCATTTCACTCAGACGTTAAAAAATTTCGTTCCTTTCTTGCATCCTTTTTCGAAATCGGCTTCTCTTTCCCATTTCCTACACATCTCTTTGTGCACAAAAATGATATGTAGCAATGTTCCCTCTTTCTTCTACTATAATGCACACTCGCACCCAGCTATTCCTCATCGTGCTTACTGATCGATGCAATGAGGGAAGAGTTGAATACCTAAGAATAATCTCAATCTATCGGAAACAGATTAAATGAGGCAAATATGGGTATGCACTAGTGATGGGATCTGACCGACAGTCGTTCGGAAAAATCCGACAATTTCGGTCGGAATTCCGACTGTCGGTGACGAAATGCCAACTTGGTCC